TGAGGCTTCCTCGAAGGTAACTTTCTTGTGTTGTTTTTTGAGATGCTTTACTCTGAACTTATGATAAGCAGCATGACTTCCCCGTTAAATGATGTGCAGATTGATGGTTTATTTGCCAGATGCTTCAAACAGAGAAAAGATTCTAAGAGTTATATTAGCCAAAGAGGAATTGTCAGCCAATGTTGATTTGGAAGCTATTGCATATATGACTGATGGATATTCTGGAAGTGACCTAAAGGTTTATTTTTCCACCTTTTTAAATGATTTAAATGTCCTTATTTGAAAATTTAAAGGGGTGTTTGTGAACCAAAGAAGGAAAGAAGTAGGTCAATTGCAAATCACATGCTAATACTAAATTGAACAAGCTTGGTCATTTTCTCTTCTAGCTAAACATTGATTCGTAATGAATTTTCATCTGTACTAGAGTAGCAATAATTCTGGCATAAACTAGTTTTGAACCTTGTTTTTCCTCTAAAAATAATATTTTAACTCATCGAGGTTTATTAGCAAGGCTTCCCTATTCCTATTAACTGAGTCATATTATGACTTTTATTCAAAATCAAATTGAAGCTTTTTAATGGGTTAAGTGGCTTTATCTTAACCTATGTTTTTTTTTTTTTGGCCAATTGGCTATGCTTATTTCACTAATGAAGTTTTCTGATTTCAGAACCTTTGCGTGACTGCTGCACATTGTCCCATACGAGAAATTTTGGAGAAGGAAAAGAAGGTCAGTTTGACATTTTAGTTTAAATGTTCTATTCTAAGTTTGCAGCTACTGGCATATATAAACTATATTGGTTTTGCAAATGGTGCAAAAAAATTGGTGAATCTGTCATGTAGATGCTCTACGGGACATTACATATCCTGATGCTATTTTATTTGCTGGTGGCAAGTAGTTACATATTTTGACTAAGTATTATTCTATGCAATTGTTTGGAGTGGGTGCTTGACTACCTTCATCTCATAGGCCAAGAAGATAAAATATTTGCTAATATCTGGATTTTCTTGATGAATCAATTCTTTATGATGCCCACCTTGTGGGTAAAGGGATGATAAGAGAAGGAAACAATCTCTTATTATGTTGTTTTAGAATTATATCATTTTTTAAGTAAAAAATATAAGTACTAATTCAGGGGTAACATATCATCTGCAATTTAGAATGATGAATCCTTCCACTACGTATACCCTAATGATCTTGAAGAACTGAAATAAATGATACTTTGGTGACAGGAGAGAGCTTTGGCACTGGCTGAGAATAGACCTTTACCGTCTTTGTATAGCAGTTCTGACATTCGTCCTCTGAAAATGGATGATTTTAAATATGCACACGAGCAGGTAACATACATGGTCTTAACCATTATATATTTAGAGCTTTTAGTTTTGTTGATTATCCATTGAAATCTCAGAAGTCTAATTTTTTCTTGGATTTCCTTGGTGTGTGGTTGTGGGTGTGGAGCATATATTAACACATTATATTTGTAAAATAGATTGATTTGGAGCACAGAAATTGGCATACATTGAATGGAATGTTCTGTGAAAAAGGCTGTGGTTTATTTTTGGTTTCTAATTGATTGTCTATAATGCAGGTTTGTGCAAGTGTGTCATCAGAGTCTACAAATATGAGTGAGCTTGTTCAATGGAATGAGTTATATGGAGAAGGTGGATCAAGAAAGAGGAAACCTCTGAGCTACTTCATGTAGAGGAGGTATCTTTGTGTATAGCATTCCTTTTTCATTTCATTCTTCAACGTCACCATAAAAGGTGGCCTAGTTGAGAGACCTGTTTGTGGAATTCCAAAGCAGGTCCCGGCTTACTTGTATTTATAGTATATAGGTCTTCTGAAATTTTCACAATCTTTCTGTTAGCAACTTTTGCGATATTTATCAAAGCAGGTTAACTTTATTCAAATCATTTTCCATTCCCATCATTCCTTGCCTGTTTGACTTTCTGTGTCACCATGGCCTCTGCCTGTACATACAAGTAACAAGATCAATTTAAGTAATTCCTTGTCATTCCTTCGAAATGAAATAAATATTCCTTTGCTGCAAAGGTTAGCAAACAAAACCCCCCAACTACCTTTGTTTTTATGTTTTTATTTTTTTCTTTTGGGGGTGTGTTGGGATGGGAATATTTCGCCTTCAAATATTTTTACCATAATCTTACAGTGATTAGTCAGATGTCTAATCACAAATAATAATTATGTAGGAGTTCATCACTTAAGTGTAGATTCAACATAATATTTTGGTGGATTTTACAATTATTATAGGTGATATGATCCGGGTTGGGATGCAGAGGGGTTGAGTTTTGCAAGGAATGCTCATAGTTGGTTGCAAAATGAGACATTATCTTGTTGTGTTGACGTTGGTCTTACTTTGTAGAGGTAACTACTAGTAGTTATTTTGGATACGCACTTTGTTGTTGTTTTACACCTTTTTTTTATTTTCGTTATGTGTGGTAACTGCTGAGTAGAGGTTGAGTGGTATGTGTTGAAACTGACAAACTGTCATGTTGGTTTGTTGGTTATGAGAAATGGAGTAAAGTTTGGAATGGAATTCATTTCAACTAGTATTTGTAGGGAGAGGGTTTCACTTAAAAAGTGTGGGTAAAGTCTTAAATTATTATTATTATTTTTTATGGATCTTACACGATATTAAAATGTAAATGATTAATTGTGTTATAATTAAATAAATTTTTTTTATGAATTTTACATAATGTTGAATCATAATTAATTGTAATTAATAATTATAATGATATGCTTGGGTTTGTAACAACTTATCTGAATAAAGTATCTTTAAACGGTACCGAGTCATTTTGGCAACAAAAAAAAAAAAAAGGATAATGAGTAATGCGGAATTTGAAATGACACAAGGTGTTTTAAATATACTACAAAAACCGCTCGTTATATTTCATAAATTTTCTTCTAAAAATATCCATATAATAAATATAACTTTTATTTTTTAGTAAATTACAAAATTACTCTCATACACCTCATATACCCACCTCTCTCTTTTTTTCCTTTTTTTCTTATTTTCATTCTTCTTTCTTAGACACTAAACCTTAAATTTTTAAAACTAAAATAATATTTTTGAAATCTTTGTTAAATCCTGCAAATCGTATAAAAATGGATAAAGAAATGAGAAACAATAATGGAGAAGATGACCTTGACGAGATTATGAAATCTCATCCCATTCGAGTACGATATTTTTATGTTTACAAAAATTTATTTTTAAGAATACAACATAATTTTTTAAAACAGAGTTTTGAAAATTATGATGTATTTTTTGAACAATTTTTATTCGGAAATGATTTTTCAAAAATTCATTATAATTTTCAGAAATGAAATTTCAAAAATATATCATAACTTTATGAAAACTGTATGTTTCTTCTAATTATAATTTTTTAACATATTATGATATGTAGATCAATTTGAAAATTGCACTAATATAGTGAGATTAGTCACAAGACAATTTAGATACTAGATATAATTACACAGATTCATTTATTTTGAAAGAGGTAAGATTATATTTTTGAGATTTAGTATTATTGGAAGGTATAGAATGTTAATTTGTATAGATGTAATAAGTTAAATATGTGGTGTATGTGTTTTGTAGTAGAGAAGTTTTGATTTCATAGGCTAAGCATGTTGGAAGAGATCAAAGTTTTATGTTTATAATTAAAAACTTTGAGGTGGGAGGCACGAGGAAACCTAGAATAGGATTAACATATGAATGAAGTGAAAAATATAAACAGCTGAAAAAAAAAAAAAAAAGCAATGTAAAAGAATAGGACGAAAAAATGTAATTGCCCATTTGAGTTATGTGAGATTAAGGCCTTATTTGGATTTAACTAAATCTTCGGTGTGTTACATTTTCTTCCCCTTTCCCCTTCCCAATCTCACTATGATTCATATTTGGATAACATCAGTGATAATGAGTTTGCTTATCTTAATTGCATTGATACACTAGTTGAAGACTAGACCTTTAGGGGTTTAGTGGATAGTTGGTATCCCAACAAGTCTTTTTTTATCCCTATTATTTTTTATCCATTCTAATTATGCCCTTAAATGAGTTTATATTTACAAAAAACCCAAAATTTGATTTTTTTTTCACTTATTTTTCTCTTTTCCCATTTTCTATCACCATCATAAATTCCTAGCCTTAAATTGCTCTTTCTCCATATTGCCCCCTTCTTGCTATCACTTGTTCCATTTCCTTGCTTCTTTTCGACTTCATCAAAGCTATTGTTGGTTTGAAGTTGTTCGATGAATAAGGTTGTAAGCATTAAAAGGTATGATCTTTTTTTTTTTTACCCAAAATCAAGATTGCTTTAGATTTTTCTGTTTTATTCTGTTAATGGAAAGAGTTCTATACTCTTTAAAGAAATAGAAATATTTAGTCTAAGAGTTTTTTTTCCTTAACAAGGATAATTTAAAATCTTTTTTACCAAAATAAGGTACTTTTCAACTTATTTCCTTTATTAAGACATTTTAAACCAAGTAAAACCTAATTAGAGAAAAAAAATATAACTATGTTTATCTCCTTGGTTTTTTGTTGCTAACTGCCACTTCTTATTATCTATTTATTTCAATTAGGTTTTGTTTGTTCATGAAATGCCACTGTGTATTACTTTGCATTCAAATATTTTATCATCTATATTTTGTAACATGGGTGAAAGATGAAGTGTCAAGATTTTTCATGAATAAATTTAATTTAATTATTTTGCTTTTTTTTATATGAACAAGACCATATTGCAACTCAATTAAAATCTAAAATTTCATAGGACTTAAAATGTTTTGAAATAAATTAGTATTGTAAATCATTAAAACCAAAATTTTATTCATTAGGAAATTATAACACATGGAATAGAGTATATATTCTTAGTTTCATCCTAATCATCAAGTCAAGATACAACTTGACATTGACAAGACAAACCAGAATAAAATAAAGCCCAAATAACCATCCCCTGCAGCAGATAAAGAATAAACCAGAATGCAGAATTGGTCCTAACCACAACAAAAAGAATACATCTTACCTAAAGCAATAAAATTCTAAACTCTGTAAATCGTTGTTTTAGCTAAAGAATCAACCTAATTGTTTACCTCTCTATAAATCTTCAAAAAGTTGACTTCACACATTGAACATAAATAATCAATTTGATTCACGAAGGGCCATAGTTTTCAAGGTCTAGATTCCATCTTACAACACCATTTAAGAGCCACTAAAGAATCAGACACAATAATCAAATGGGAACCAACATACTTCTTAGACTTAACAAAAACTTCTAAATTAAAATACGAAGCCCATACCTCCAAATAAATTTGTATGCGTAAAATGGCAATTTAATTTGAGAAGAAAAATGAACTTCAAATCAATAGTAGTTAGTTGTCTCTTTTTGAAAATAGTTTTGGCACAAAAAAAAAATTTTTGTTAGAGATTTTGAATTTTTTTTTTTTACAAGAGAGAGATAGAAAATGGGGATTAAGGATAGTAATTAGAACATGAATGTAACAATCAGAAATTCAAAATGCTGACAATGAAATATAGTAATACAAGTTCGATGCCACGTAGACAATGACATGGCATTGATGTGGCTAAATTATCCTACTTATGAAATAAAGATTAAAAGTATCCTTATTAAAAAATAAAGATTTTGATAAACTCTAAGTTAGGAAATAACTCTATAGTCTAATGAGGCTTTAGTTCATTAATCCCTAGCCAGAGATTTCTCGTCTCATGTATTTATTATATAATTTTGATGCGAATAAATTTGGTTGTATATGATTGGATCCTTTTAGAAGTATTTACTTCTTTATACAAGAAAAATAAAAATGGAAAAAACCTACCATCTTAGACCTAATGAGTTCCTACCTCTGAATATCTAAAATGGTTTCTTAAATCTTAGTTTCTGTTTCAAAATAAATTAAACACATGAGAATATACATTTCCATTATTGATAATAAAAAAACTGAACATTTTCTATGCTAATCTTGTGTTGTTAATTATTCTCATTTATTTGCCTAATATTCTTACGATTTTCAAATTGTTTTATTGACTGGATAAGGTGAACCTACTTGCCTTTGATTTATTAACTTGCTCAAAAGAATAATACTTATTTTTTAAAAAAAAATTATAAAGAAAGAAATATTAGATATCAAACAAAGCAAAAGCTATAGTTATGATGTTCTTTTCTATTCTATTTCAATTTTCAATAACTTTCTTCCTTATATTGATGGTTAAACCTAGATTGGTATCACTATAGTGGTATGTCTCATTTTTTGGAATAGCCATTTGCTCATGAAAATAAAATATTAAACCAAAAAAAAATGTTAATTACAATTATTTAATTGCTAAAAATATGACCCTTACATAAGAGCAAGCTTTTAAAGTTTTAATTGCTTTTTTTATAGTATTAGACTTTATGTCAAAAGTCTCAAACTGCTAAAAAAAATTACAATTTACCTGTAGTTTGGACGTTTTAAGCTACTCCAATAGAATTTGCTCATGTAAGAGTTAAATGTTAGTTTAAGGGCTTTGAGCATAGTTTTTTCAATTACAACTTTGGCTAGTTTATGATAAAGTAATATCCCACAATTGGATATTGTTTCTCATGTTTTTAGGATACTGTTTCTCCAGTGCTGATAGGGAGACTAAAAATTTGGAGACACTAACCATGTTCTATTATTGAAGCACAATCATATGCTACCTTATTTTCTCTATCATGTTTCACAACTCAAAGTTCTCTTTATGTTGCCTTTGTTTCTATGAATGCATTAAAAAGAGTGTTCATTTTACTTGATGAATATAAACCACTTTTTTCCCTTTATGTTGGTTCTATCTTTCTTTGTTGAATTTGATATTAGTTTATTTCCTACTAATATGTTATGTTTGAAATAATCTGATGAATAATTTATTAAAATTGAAATAATAATAAATGGTGAAGACAAGAAATATTGTTGAGAGTGATACTATCTTAACAACTAAAGCTACTTGGGACAACAAGCTCACAATGATATTTTGTGAACTTTGCGTAAATGAAGTAAATACCGATAATAGACCGACAACTCATCTGAATTCAACAAGGTAGGAAAATGTTATTTCCTTT